CTCCAGAAGTTACAGCAACTAACCACCTTTTAGAGGTCTGTGGGAAGTACCTTTCTCGGTTGTGTGAACTTCTTCCGTGTGACCAAACATCTTCCAGAGGCTGCTGATCACAGGCTTCACCTGTTACACTGCTGGCTAACCTCTTAAACCTCTTATTTTCACAGGATCTTGTAAAAGCTTGCATGGACAGGGTGCTGGGCCATCTAGTCTAGGTCATGCTTTGCCAAGAAAGGTTGGACCAGATGATCCTTGAGGTCCCTTCCAACCTGATTCTGTGTGCTTGTATCAACTTCTCTTTGGCTGGCTCATTTATTTGCATGCTTCATAAGTCTGCCTCAAGCCCTTGTAAGTAAGAGTTTGCAAGTGTGTCTCAGGCTGCTGCCTCTCAAACAACTTTAGCGCTAGTGAAGTAGTGGAGGAAGTCTTTTTAATGGATTTTTGTTTTCTAGGAAGGAGCAGACTTCCAGCGGTACTGATGATTTTTATCAATATTTTTAAGTCCAAGACATTGGAATTTTCAGCAGTGGGGAGTAGCATTAGAAGGTTGCTTTTTTTTTTGGTCAATAAATGCAAATACAAGGGTATTTTTCTGATCTATAGTTACTTGTTAGCAAAATGAATTGTTACATGTGAGGGGTAAATTGAACTTCATTGCTGAGATCTTAGCAGCTCTGCAGTGTGTGTGTATTATCTAGTTGTATGAAAGGCAAAGTTCAGGCTGTGAACTGAATATGTAGGGCCTGATGGTATTTGCTCTGTGTGTGAAGTACTGTCCCGTCATATACATGGTCATTGCCGGTGATATTCCTCAGAAACCTCAAAGTGTGCAGGCAGTGGAGTCATTAGGGAATACTTTTTTTATCCTTGCTAGAGCTGGCTATTTTATGCTGTCTCAGTAAACTGAATAAAGTTGAGTTGCCTTTTGACCACAATATAAATGAAAGTTTTAAGGTAAATAAATAGTTTTCCCACAGCTGAAACTAATGTCTAACACCTATAAACATCCACAAAAACACTGAAATACCTGCATATGCCTGTAAGCAGATGCCTGTTACATAGTTTTGTTAAGGTAAGGGAAGATGTGGTAAGGGAAAAGAACCAAGAGTGTGAGTTAGGCTGATACTGCCTCTGAAAGAACCAGTTCTTGCACTAGAGCCCTAAACCCAAATGGGGTAAGATTCCCTCAAGTAATAAAAATTATGGTTATCTTTTGAATTTTATTTCCCATATACTATGGTATCATCCAGACTGAACTGCAGTCAGCTCACCTCCTGCTTTACTCAGCACTTGAAAGACACTTGGGTACAGTGATGATGTGAGGTGTAAAACAGGGATGAGTGATGTTATCCACGCACTGATGTCACATCATGCTGGAGCTCTCATGTCCTAAAACCTCACGTAGATCTTGACGAGGTGCCTTGGGATTTTGGAACCCCAGGTGTGTGAAGCAGATGAAGAAAGAAGTCATATATCTGAATGACGTGACTAAACAAATTCTGTGAAAGAAAGCGGGTAACTTCATCTTTACTTCATGAAAACTCACCTGGCTGGAGTATGTACTTGGTGTAGCTGCTCTTTCTGTAGATTCCAGAGTGGTTGCACTTCTGCTTTTTATGATGGTTTTGGTGGGCTTGCTGCCTTTCCCGCTGTGACTTTGAAGGGACTGAGTTGTTAGGACAGTGTATTTGCTTAAACACAGATTTGTGGAATCTTAAAGGGGAGGGACAAGAATTGGCTGGAGATGATGGTGGCAGCTTTTAAGGGCAGCATACAAAGTACAGGACATCAGACTTTCCACTGTTGTCTGTGCCTGGCCAGGTGCTTAAGCTGGTACCCCTTATATAGAGGGATACTCCACAAATACTGGAGGGACATCCAGTTTTCTCTTGGTCCTCACAGCCAAAGGAAGGTATTTCTAAAAGCAAATATCCACTTCATGGTAGGCAAAAACCTGAATTATTCATGGGTACAAAGCCTGAAGCTATGTGTCATGTTCATTTTAGCACTGAGTTGGAGCTTTCTTGACCTATGTTCTTTGTAATTAAAAACAAATCCCTCAAATCCAAGATCTGTTTGGAAAGGGTTCTGTAATGCTAGGGCAGCGTGTATTGTCATGCTCTCATGCCTGCCCTAACTGTATGGATTTAGTTATAGGAGCTGCTGGACTCCTGCACTTCCATTGATTTGTCACGGTCTACGAATCCTGTAGTTTCTTAACACCATGAGATGCAGAAATTACTTAAAGAAAATACTAGTGTGTATTTATTGTGAATACACTGCGTACAATTTTATTGCATTTATATTAAAATAAGTTGAGATGCCTTTTGCTTTATTTACACTATTTTCAGGCTGTTTTCCTTTTGCCTAAATGAAACCCTTTTGATGCTCTTGCTTGTCTGGCTGGCTGTAAACCAGGTATTTAAACAAAAATAAAGAGTTGCCAGTTTTGCCAGCTGGGGATGAGAACCCGGCTGGTGCTATGTGGGTTCGAGAGGCAGTTAATCCAGCTTTTATGCTTTTTTATGATTTTATGTAAAAAGAGGTTAAAAATCACATTTGGCTCTTTCTTTGTACCACTGTTTTGTTGCTGTTGTGGGAATGCAGCAAAAGGTTTCTCGTACTTTTTATTATTATTAGGTAAAGTCCTGCATAAATTAGGGAAAGCCACAGATACAGTTTGCTTTAGCTACTAGCTGTGTGATTTGCCTTGCTTATGTTTTATCTTCCCATTGACTTCTTTTATAAATCGCACATGCAAACCACACCTCAACTTACTTGTTAGAAGAATCTACCACTGCCTTCAATTTTATGTATTTTACTAGCTGCAAAGGAAAAGAGTAGCTAACTGTACAGATAGGAGAAATAGTAACAGTGCTAATAGGTGTAGGAGAAAAATATAGAATGTTTTTATTCTGTGGCACAAGAAACGGTGATTTAAAGACAAGTGTCACAGATTCCATATACAGTTTTTCAGCAAATAGCTTGCAATATGTTCGAACTCATAAAACATTTAATTGATTTTAAAATGCAAGAGTTATTTTAGTTTTGTCATATGTACTTATTCAGATAATTTGTTGTATTTTACACTTCCCAAAATTTCACCCTCTATTTGAAAATATGAATGATGTAACGAGTCTGTTTTGGCACAGTTGTAAATAGTATGTGTTAATGTGTTAATATTTATGATTTTTTAGTCTTATATACACAAGAGGGATTTTTAATATACTTCTTTTCATCATGTTTCTACTACTAATCCTTAAGGACAGGGAAGACTAAGAACACGAATGCATTAATAGTTGTGGGATTGTCAAAATTGCCATACTAGATCAGGTAGCATTTTGTTTCTGCTAGTAGCATGTACCAGATACTTCAGAGCAGGCTTGGATTTACTGGGGGAGAAAATGGGGAGGCAGAAAAACAGACTTGATACCTTCATTAGGACTGGTGAGAGTAGTGCATGTGTCCTATGGTGTGGTCACAGCCACTTAATGTCCCCAGATGGGCAAAGGCTTTGTCTGTCCTTGCTTCAGAGGAAATTACTGGCAGTCCTCTTACACTTTTTAGACAATCACAAGCTTGTAGCAAAAGGTTTACTCGTAGCAAAAGGCTTCTGATCTGTTAGAGGTGGCCTTGTTCATTAAAGCCTGAAGACTTTGCTACACATTGCCAGATTTTCAATACTATATATCTAAATGGCTGTTCCTATGTGTCTGCTCACAGTTTGTATCTGTGGTGGTGATGGCGTGTGTCTGCGTGTTGTAGAAGTATTCTGTTTTCTAAGGATTAGTTTGTTGTTGCTTTCTTAGATTTATTTTTAAATCAGTTATGTGTTGCCTTTCGGAAGCCGTCTTTTAGTGATGTAGAAATAATTCTTTATGCCGAACTGTTTAATTCTTTATAAGTATAGTCCAACTCTATTAGTTATTTCTTTTCGCTTTCTTACTGTTTATTATTTAAGTCTGATTTCTTGTTTAAGGTTTTTGCCTCTTTAGTAGATCTTTCTGCAGCAGATATTGGCTGTTTAGCACGTACAATTGTCTTGCCTTCTGTTACCATTTATTAACTTCTGACTTGGTTCTTTTCAAAATGAAAGGGTATGATCTGCTAGAAATTCAAGAAATTGGAATTATATGTGTATATATTCAGTAGCCTCCAGTTTCCTTATTGCTTATGGTTTCATTATGGGTGTGTGCTGCTGTTGTCTCCATTTCTACAATTTAATATGGAGGTGTATTAAGGTTAAGACACACTCTTTAGATTCCTTCTTCCAATTCTCTGAGGCTGCTGGAAGGAGGACTGTAGAGTATGTTGTTTAGATACACAGCATTGGAGGCACTATGTTAACAAATGATACAAACATTCCCATGTTTCTGTAATTGTATACTGTCATATAAACATAATATCATAGTAAACATTGTCATATTTCTTTGCATTAAAGCAGGCCAGCTGTTTGGACTATTTCATGGAATATAATGAAACTGTCAGGAGAAACGCATTGAGGACTTTTAGTATAAACAAAGATCATAAAGGAGCTAAGCTTGTCTTAGTAAGATTAAAGCGTTTCTAAATTTGAGGCTTTATTTTCTTACAGGTGGGGTAAAGAGAAAAGAAGTGACTGAGCAAGGAGATGATACGCTTCTTCTTCCAGAAGAATTCTAACTGAGGCAGTAGTACCCATAGATAGTGTCTCTTCCTAAAGTTGTGCACACTATAAAGGGGATGATAGAGGACATAAGAAAGGGGAAAATGCAGTCATGATTGTTTTGAGCAAGTCATCCTAAATTTTTTATTTTGCTTTTAGCAATATGCCTGGAATTTCATAGAGCTCAGGTGTGTCAGTACTGCAATTGCATGTATTGAGCCTCGTTCTTGGAATTCTTGTAGCACACTGTGAAAATAAACTCTTGGAAACACATTCGTAATGAGATGTGTCAAATAGACAGAAATGATCACGTCTGAAATAGTGCATGTCTTACAGCTGGTTTTGGTTTCTGTCTTAGGTGTTGGAAGATAATGACTATGGTCGTGCAGTGGACTGGTGGGGATTAGGAGTTGTCATGTATGAGATGATGTGTGGAAGACTACCATTCTACAACCAAGATCATGAGAAACTATTTGAACTGATACTAATGGAGGACATAAAATTTCCTCGAACTCTGTCTGCAGATGCAAAATCATTACTATCAGGCCTACTGATAAAGGATCCAAATAAGCGGTAAGTGAAATTATTTGGGTATACTGGCACCATAAATACTCTAGTTATACTGGGTAATGTAAAAATAGGCCCATGATTCCTGGCCTTCCTGACAGAGGGACCTCTCAGTCACAGGAAAAGGCCATATGCATCCATACAGTCTCAGCTTTCCACTTTTTCAATACAGCAAAAATATACAAAGTGAGTTTAATGAGCAAAAGGGGAAAAATCACATGGAAAAGAACACTTTCTTAGTGATTCACAGGGATCTTTTCAGGTTAGATTGTGTACTGGAACAAAGGGAGAGCTCTCAATCATTTTGCAGAGTGTGATTTAACTCCGAGTTCGCTGTAGTGTCTCATGGGGACTGCAGTGCCTTTTTTTTGAAGTGATCATGGTAGAAGACATGTATAGACTAAATTTCATTAGGGCACATAAATCATATATTAGACCACGTAAACTAGTAACATTAAAAATATACATCTGAGTGGAATTTAAATATAGTGGTTTGAAAGCAAGTGTCACGTAGCTCCTGCGTGTGCCCTTTTGTGTTGGGCATTTGCCTCTGGGATTGTTGCCTAGGAGAACCATTTTCCAGTGGTTTCTGCACTGGACCAGCAGCGTCTAGTCCCCTGTGGTTCTTAACTAAATCTCTGTCTTTGTAAATCAGTAAGATTTGTCTGTAGGTCCCCTTTCTTCCCCAGTCCCTCTGTTGTGTTTTCAAGTCTCTTGGCATGTTTTAAGGCTGCAGGCATTCTTCTGTCTGTCTGTCTCTTCTTTAGTTCTCTTGCACCCTCAGTTTGTTCTCAAAAAGTTTTTAGTAGTGGGCATGTTGCTGTGTCACTCCAAGGGATTTGCCTGAATGCAGCCAAGTGCAGCAGCCAGGAAGGACAGCACAAGTGGTCAGCCTTCCTGCTGCTGCCCAGCAATGCCAGTTTAACTGAATTTACCGTGTGCACTAAAAGCAAACTGTGACCAACCAGCTAAATACATGGAGAGTAAAGTAAAAATTTGCTCCTATAGCAACTCCTAATGCATTTTTAACCTCCAAACAATCTGACCCATCAAATATATAAACCTTTAGAATTTAAAAGATAGTCCTTTGTAATTAATCTTTGCAGACAGTAATGTTTATTAGAGACATTTACAAGCTTATTCACATTCAAGTTCTTATTCTAGCTGATGCTAAATAGGGTGGGAGCCCACAGGTTAACTGAAGCTCAGCTTTTCTCTGAGCAGCTGGATGGGAAGATAATGAGAGAAGTCTGGCGACTGCAGGCTAACTGGAATACTTTGCAGAGATGTAGTGAATTTTACAATAAGTAATTGAGAAACAAAGAGGAATACAGCTTGGAAATAACTTTACACCCAGCCTCTGCAGGACTGAGTATTCCAGAATACTTTTTTAATTTGGCAGCAGGGTAGTACCAACACAAATTAATTTTTTTTTCCTTAGTTGTGGGAATTATTGCTTCTTGCAATATATGCTTTAGAGAGAAATCTGTCTTACTTAAAAGGTTGCTTTAAAAATTTCTCTTTATGTCTTTAGCAGTGCCTTTTAATGAAGGACAGATTGCTTGTGTCACTCTTCTTGTCCATATTCAATATACATGGGCTACTTATTCAGTTAAGAGGAGCTTTTTTTCCTATTGCAGTTTCTTTCTGTTAGTCCAGTAGGATAGCCAGTCTCAGGAAGAAGTTAGATGAGAGCCGAGCAGTGGTGAGAGTCCACATGCTGTTAAAAGGGGCAGAGATTCCCTTTACTGGATGTGTAGTTCTTTCTTGGCCACCACCAGCAGCTCAGGGATGCTCACTAAACTTGTTTAATCAAATTTAACTTACTAATGAAACAAAAACCTGACGGTTCTGTCTTGTTTTCTCATTGCTGGGTTAGATTTCTTCTAAGTAAGTGAGCTGACTCAGCTCAGAGTCATCAGTGGGAATGATGCTGTGGATGCAAGTGAGAAGGGAGAGGTATAGGCAGGGGTGGGACCCTGTTTTGGCAGCAGTGGCCACTTTGTCGAGCTCAGATCACCTTGGGCAAGTTCACCCAAAGTAGGTGGAATTCAGTTCCTAGGATGATTTACCAGACAGTCTGGCTTCGGCAAGCTGTGGGCCACCGTGAGTATTGTGGTTATTTACAGTGGCCTTTAAATAACCTTCTCAGCAGGCCTACAATTTATTAATTTATACTAATTGACTCAGATTGAGACTATTTTATGGTAATTGGTTAATTGTTACAGCACCCAGATGCAACAGCAGTGAACACTGTATAAAAATGATGTGTGAGTCATTACTGATTCAGTGCCTGGCACCTCCTTGGCAAAATTTTATGTCAGCATTGTTGGGTTGGTTTTGGTTTTTAGTAGTGCCAGGAAATCAGTTGGTCTTTCAAGAAAACCAAACTTAAGTATGTTTTTAAAATAAATGAATTAGTAAAAAAGCTTATCATGGACAGTAATGAGCACTGTAGTTGGAATAATCAAATAGAATAGACCATGGCATAGATACTTCTGCTATCAGATCACCTGAATTCGTATTAAATAGGTGAGAATTACATATTAAGAGGGTGAGAATTGTTCCCAGGTAGTCACTTTTCCAACCATTACAATAACTAATCTTCCTTTGGAGAAATGCTTGTTTAATACGATCTCTTTTCCACTCTCTTCAGACTTGGTGGAGGCCCAGATGATGCAAAAGAAATCATGCGTCATAGTTTCTTTGCTGGAGTAAACTGGCAAGATGTGTATGATAAGAAGGTATGTCTTTACATGACATTGAATAATCTGGCTTCTGCAAAGTGGTTTCCATGAATAGTCATAGGACTGCTGCTCTCTGAAGTTAGTGTTTTTCTTTGCAACTTTTTGTGTTAATACAAATGAATAATTGTTCTGAACTAGGTGTGCTTACTTAATCTTTTGGGTTTTAGTAACAATTTTCCAGTGGAACAAAAATAAATTCTGAAACCCTACTTAAACTCAGCAAAGATTTTTTTATTTTATTATGTAAATGTCCAGATTTTTTCCTTTCGTTTTTTCTTCCTGGGCCTTCAAGAGAAAAGCAAGTGTCTCAAGATAATGGCAGAACACGGAATTGAAGTTTGTCCTGAATTGTCTTTTTATTTCTGCCTTTTATTGAAAAGCTGTTTTACGGAAATAGGAAGATTAAGTCATTGGAAGGGACTCACAGCAAAACCCTGGTTTCTGGTTGTTTGTGTTTAAGAAGAAATCTTTTTCAAACTGATTTTTAAAGAGATATCTAAGAAAATTAAAATAGCATTAAAACACTGAGCCAAAACAGCTTGTGGAGAAAGCAAGTACTGGGAATTCAATTGGAACAGTTTTCTCTAAACCCTGTCCTGTTCCTGTAATGATCAACACTTTGGGGATGATTTTAGAAAATGAATTTATCTTACTCAGTAGTGAAACTCAATTTGACTTAAGTTGTTTTATATACAGAAGCCGATTTTATCTCAGTACTTGTGTAAGAATTTACTTGTTGCTATAAACCCCTTCTATTTTGATAAAGTCTTTTTTTTATATACCCCAACTGTTTTACATTGTTAATCTGTCAGTTGAGCTTGTGTAATTTTAAAAGATAGATTTTTCTCCTTTTTTTGCTTTGTTCAAATAAAAGGAAAATGGAAGACATACGAAGGAGCAGAATATGTTTATGCTACAACGTCAATGATACAAACTGTTTTTTCAGTTGTTGTTGAACTGGAATTTTGAAAATGTGTGGTTGTTGGTGTGGTACTTCTCTGACAAATACCGGAATTGAAATAGGAGCCTGGATATGATGATACAAAATATGGTACTCTGAAGTTACTTGGTACAAGTGTGATTTTTCCCTGGCAGTATCATGAGGTTTCAGGAAACTCTAAAATAAATAATCAGAGCAAGTATAATAATCAGGTTCTTTATGAGCTCAACCACTGGCTGGTTATTTAAGGACATTGGAGGAAAGCACTTTGAGGATAAAATCTAAAAATACAAGTTGAGGACCTTTAGAGTTTGTAAAAACCCCACTAAAACCAATTGGATTGCAATGTGCTAGGAGTGGGTGAGAAAGAAAAAGCTGTTACATTACTCTTGCTCTGTTGAGAAAGATTTCTTAATTATTCTACATTAGAAATAGAATTCTCAATTCTACACTCAACATTATGTTTAGTTAGGAAAATACAGATACTCTTAATTTTTAAACATGTATTTTGAGTCTTTCCATACGACCGCGGCAAATGTCTTTCAGTCAGGAACTTATTCTGAGCTATTAAAATCAAAGGGGGTATATTGCAGGCATTAAAATAAATTATATAAATATATGTAATTGCGGGTATTTTGTTTTTATCCTCGTGGAGGTGGATATGGCTTATTAGAGTGTTATAACAGGAGAAATTGTAGTCATTCATTGTTTACTCTGTCTGTTGTTCCTTTGAGAAACTAAATTTGCTAGTAAAAAAATCAGTTGAATTTCCTCATCTGAACAGTTAACTTCAAGGATCATAGAATTGTTTTTCTGCAGTCCTGGCACACCATGTATTCTTTATGGAAAAATAGCTCGTGAAGATGTCTTCTGACAGTATGCTTTTCTGTTTAATTAAGAAATAGTTTTGTTCCTATTACAAAGCCGTTTGTCTGGTTGGTTAAAATACCCAAATGTTCTTTCTGCACACACAGTCTTACCAGTTCTGAAGTATGCAAGGAGTAAAACTGCTCTGAAATACAAACTTGAAACATAATAATAAGGTTAATGAACTTTCACTGAGTATGTTTATTAGAATGCTTATATGAATATTTTTGAGGTTTTGGTATTCTAAAATAACTCGTGAGGAATGTGCATCCAAAAAATTTGATTTTCAAATAGATTTATTCTATGCTTGCTTCTGTTGCTGTTTATTATTAGTAGTATAGTCTTCAGCAGTAGGGTCACTTGATGAAATTGATAGTTGATATAATTATTTGCATAGTAAAAATATTTCACAGTATTCTTGTCTGAGGTTTATGCACTATGAAACCATAATTTTCTGGCTGCATTTCAGGAGTGTGTTGCTGTTAGCAATGAAAGAACTGAAGTTCATATTCAGAGTAATGGAAACCAAAAAATCATTTGTGTTCCAAGTAGTTGCTGGGGGATGGTTTAGTACATGTGCACACTCTGCTCCTGTGCCACAAACTGTAGCTTTTTTTGCTAGAAATTAGGGTTAGTACATCTCTGTGCTTACTAGGTTATCGCTTTACTGGTGTGATTAGAGACACAATTATAGATCTGTAAACTTAAGAGTATTTCATGCAGTAAGCAGTAGCTCTGTAGGGTAAATGATCCAAATGGTCAAATGGAATTATTAGCTCTCTGATACTGCTAACGAGTTAAACAAATCTGATACTACACAATGACAATAAAACATTGTATGGGCACGCTGGAGCAGAGAAGGTCGTTGCCTTTAAATGAAAAATGTATAGTAGTTAGCATTTGTGATCAGATATATTTATTTTTGGCAGAAAAACCATGAGGGCATATGAAAGAGAGCAGCCTGTGCCAGGTTCTTCCTGTGATCATCTCAGCCCTGATGAGTTTTTAGCTCTGTGCCTGGGTATGAGAAATTGAATAGTTTGGCAAACTCTGAAGACTTCAAAACCCCATATACTGCTAAATAAAATATTTGCTTTATTTTTAGCTAGGATCAGGAAGCTTTAAAAATTTCTCTGTTACTCATTTAGGAATTGTTTTAGCTTATTTTTATTTGGGTTGCAGAAATGTTCTTAAGTAGTTGGATGTTCTGTCTAGGGTCTTTCACTGAGCAAAAAACACATGGGCATTAGTGTAAAGATAGCAATTTGGGTATGCCTTCAGGATTGAAGCTTGAAGCCCTTAGGTAGAGTCATGGCAAAGGAGATCCAGCCCATGTAGCGAAGCCTGGGTTTCCTACTGCATGTAATACGGATGAAAGAAGAAAGAAACCATATGGGAATTTGGGCTGAGATACAGATCTATCCTTTTGATTTCTGATTGTTTCTGAAGCAAATTAGGGAGTGCTAACATATTTATTAGTTAGCACTGGGAAGGGAGTAGGGACAAGTGTCGGTTATGGTTAAAGCTGGGTTGTCTGACTTGGCTGCAGGCACACTCCTCTGTGTGGAGGCTGCGACTTTCAGCATGGAGTCTGACAGCTGCAAGGAGCTGTTCCTTACCTTTCCTTACCTCTGCTTTACTTAAGACAGAACAACAGCAGATGATGAAATCCCCTGGTTGAAGCCTGGGTTCAGGCCTGGCAAAATCTGCAATATAACTATAATCTGAAATGCATGTTGAGGTACTCTCGTATTGGAAGGACAGAAAATGAGGGAAATAGGAAAATACCAACATCTGGTTTTAGGCTGTTGCTATTTGAGTCTTACTATTTTTGTACAAATACCTGCAGTGCAACAAAGCCTGCAGAAATGACCCTCATTACTTGCTTTTGTGTTGTTGCCATGCGAAGTAGTAAAAAGATCAGAGAACTGCTAACCAGTCTGATCTTTTCATTGTGTTCCCAGTGACACTTCAAACTATATGGGGCAGACCTAGTGGTTGATTACCACCCTTTCCCCCAGCTGCTTAAATTTACAGGGAGGAAAATATACATAATGGTGTCTGATTCTTAAATTGTTGCTGTAGTCCTGGGAATGTGGTTTCTCTCTGTCCGTGATACCAGCATGTTATCACTTGGAAAACAGTTTGTCCATGGGCAAAACCCCCTGCTGAAGCCTGCCTTGCTGTGCATTTGTGCCGTGAGTCATTCCACCGCTGAAATCCCAGCCTTTCCTCCTCCCCTGCCTAGGACAACCACATGCAGTGTCCTAGCAGCATGCTTTGTAAGTTACTGGATTTCAGTTTATGTGTGAATAGACTGTTTACTTGGAACATCATGTAGTAAGTTAGCTGGTTTGTTGATACAAATACTTTTTATTTGATTTGGGAAGTCTGCCTGTGAACTGTGACGTTCTTTTAGCACTTCCAGCTGAGCAGAAGTGTGTGTAAATACGAAAGTGTATTTCACTGATGTAAGCCCATTCTCTTCTCACAGTACACTTTATGTTTCCCACCATTCTGATTTGGCTGATCTGTCTCTTCTGTTTAATTCTAGAAAATAACAACTTTGCAGGTTTGGTTCTTCAGAAAAGTTTAAGGTAGATGAAAGTTTGATGTCTGGACATCAAGTCATTAACTTTCATAGTCAGAAAGACTGTAAGACTTGACACTGTTTTTGACATACATCAGCCTTCAATAATAAACTGGAGGGAAATTGCTTAAATATAGCATATGGTGACAGTACAAGGCTTTACTGAAATAACTGTGTTGTAGTTATTTTTATAATAGATTTTCAAAATACATGTAAGAAAAGCAGAATTCATCTAATACATTGTAATTTATTAATAAAGAAGAGGCATATCAGTTGGGATGCAGCAGAGATTGTTTTTGAAATCAGACAACTTGGAATGTCATACTGAAGTTGAACCATAAGTAAGATTCAAATAGTTACTCCTCCAGAATAAAACCTGAAATTGAAGAACAGTGCTTACTCTTTTATATTTATATGACACATAAAGAATTAGTGTGTTTGGGAGTTTCGAGATTATAATCTAGTTATCTTGTTTATTTAAATGCATCATTCAGTGGGGGTGGTGTATAGCTGCTTCTCTTCCTTTCACACTTTATCTCAGAATACTATGCAGCTGCAGTCTGTTGGTGGATGAGATTCTTATGGCAGTGTTAATTCTGA